AAAACCGGTATACGTGACTCAAACAGTAACTTGTAAGATGGTATATTATTATCATATAAATTTGTAAAACATTAATTAAATGTTCCAAAGAACGTTGATGGGCATAGGGTAAATCAAGCCGTAAATGGACTCGCATTAAGCGTCTGGTTCGAACCTCAATCAACTTTTCGGATAAGGGCGACTTTTTAAAGAACACATTGTATCACGGTCTTTCTGCTGAGATGTTGTATCCCCCATAACCTGGGTTGATCTTGACTGACAGGCATGGTCGAATCCTGCTTCCTGAATGATCTAAATAATGTCCCTGGTGGAGAGGGGGGGGAGCACGTATCACGCCTTCATTAAACATAGAAAGATCAATTTGAAAAATACTAAAATACGTAATTATGCATGCCAAGACCACCTCTCGCCCAGATACCTTGCCCACTTTAACAAAGCCGTCTGGTTACCCCAACATTAAATTTCTATCTGACATATTTTGGTCGTTTTGAGTTACTAAGACAATGAAATAAAAAAAACAACCAAAATCATGTTCTTACCTGATGCTCTATCAAAATCGTAAGATTATTCGGAGTCGTCATCTAGACATTTAAACAGAATTGCATTATCAAAGCTTTAAATTAAAAGAATTGAAAAAGCTTTACGTGTTGCAATATGAAATCATTTTTAACGTCAAATTTCTCCCCCAAAAAAGGTACTGAGCAGAAGAAAAACAACTTTGCAATTCTCGGGTAGCGAAGTGCCCAAACGTGAGACTACGTGTGTAGACGTTGTGTGCGTGTGTGTGTGTGTGTGTGTGTGTGTGTATGTGTGTGTGTGCATGCGTGCGTGTGTATGTATGTATGTGTGTGTGCGTGTGTATGTATGTATGTATGTGTGTGTGCTCACGAACCTTTTAATCGTCCCGGGGGTTAAAAAATAGACCGCCCCTTGTCCCTGTAATACATTTTCCCTCTATCCCAACCATCCTCGTTTACCAGGAAGCCGCCTATAGCTATTTTTCGCCGATAAATCGATGGACTAAGAGGATATCGATCTTCCAAGCAGTGCTTAAGAAATGCCCTGGGTAGAACTACTTCCTCCT